ATGTTTTGCATCATATATCTTATTGCTCCCCTAGAAAAATAACTTAGCAACATGTTTTGCATCATACATCTTGTTGCATGCTATTCGTACAATCCATTTGGTTGTAATCTAGATTTAGCTCTTATGTATTTAAAACATTGACTACAAAAATTATGAACATCATGCTTCATCTTCGACCCAAAGAAGTGTTTATGTAACATATTATAAGTTTTATTAATATTGAGTTGTCCATTAAGACACCACCACTTCTCTCAAAAGCAAATCTCTTGTAGAGTTTTTAAGAATACAAAACATACTTTTCTCAAGTAAAAATTCATTAAACACATAATAATCATCCACAAATCTTTTTGCAAGACAATGCAGAAATAGTTCTAAAGTCTTGGTCATCTCTATATAATTTTTTAATAGGCTCAAATCTAATAATTTTTGCAAGACAAAATGCGATGTCATCGTAGTACAGGAATGTCTTGTTATAACTTCAAAAATGTAGTAGCACATGCCTTGAGTATTTAAAGAAATAATAAGTAAGTGACCCCACTATTGTGGTTAAATGCAAGAACATGCTAATGCAATGATGAGACCTATCCTTTCAATCTAATTTTCTATGGTACTGTCCTAACGGGTAATTGGGTTGTGTACCATATACTCTACACACAGACCATACGTGCGAGTATAGACTCCCCAGTCAGTTCGCACACAGCTGGGCTACTTTTCTTATCGGGGGAGCATACTCCGGGAGCTCCTTAGGCCAGACACCCGTTAGAACTAGTAACCGTCGCGGCAGCATTATGTATACATACAATTTAGGAAACATAACATAACGCTCCATGCTTTTAATATATTATTTCATAACATGCAATTCATACGACAATTACCTCAATGGTTACACAAAACAATCTAAACATAACATATCACATCACAATATATCATATCATAAAACTTTGTGGTCATATCGTTCCCTAACTTATCATAGTCTTAACATTCGTATACCTATCACAGTCATATCGTTACGTGAATGTACCTTTGTCATATCATCACAGGAACGTATCCTAACGCTATCGTTCTATGAATCTATCACATACCCATCTCTTTCTACCCATAACCTAACCATATTTTTTCGTCAATCTCTCATATCCATAGCACTATAGTATGTAACCTAACCTTAACGTTTCATGAACATATCTTACTCCTATCGTTACATTTGGTTTTGTGCATCCTTCTCGTATCCTATCTCAAACATATCATTGAATACATCGTACGGTAATTATTATCATACAATTCACATATTATAACATATAAGAAGCATATCGATCCACAGATAATTCACATATATCAATAATATATATGACACATGCAGAACCACGAGGCACGTGTCAACATCAAATATAACTATGTCGATAGTAAGGCCACTAACTTGATTAGCTTAGGTTGGTGTCACTGATTTATCCTTAAGAAAGTTCGATTTTGTCCTTTATATTTAAGTCAACCTATATGAACCATGACATCAATTTCAATTTCAATTTCAATTCTCTGACTTTTACCTGGACTCTAAATTTTACCATGGTCCATGCGTTACAGAACATATATACCATTCTATTTTCATTTCACAGAATTATGAGGTGGGTTGAAAAGAGATTATGGGAAATGGACCATAGTTAGGGGAGAAGTGGAGAAGATTTGTTTTTATTTATTTATTTATTTACTTATTATTATTATTTTAGGGGTGGAGAAGAATGGTTTTTATTTATTTATTAATTTATTATTATTATTTTTTAAAACGAAATAATAATTTTTGTTTATAATATTTTTATTTGTTTATTTATTTATTTACTTCTTTTGGGCTATTAAAGTGTTTCTTATTACTAAATATTATATCAGACTAGTGAGCCAATTTTCTTTAAATTTGCTTGCTCGGAAGACTTGTACTAATATGATGACGGTATTCAGGTTAAGACAACTTGTTATCCTCTGTTGACCACAAAATCGAGGAGTCTTACAAAATGAGCTAAACAAAAATTATGAGTCATGACCGATCACTAACATTAATTACAAACTTAAATATTTTTAATCCACGTAATAATCTTATTTAAACGAATAATTTAATATCATATTAATATAAAATAACATTTGCATTTATTTTATATAAAAATTCTTTTTAGATTTGAGTTTTTTTTTTTTTAATATTTATGCAAAATAATCCTCCAATAATAATATGAAGTCTTGTTATCTTTATATCATTATTTAATATGTTCAAATCTAAGAATTTTTATACTAAGAGAAGCAGAGAGATCGTACCTTTAGATATAACACATCAGTTACCATATTACCCTTACCTTGCTTATATTTGATAACATACTTGCACTTTTTGCAGTTGGCAAATATCTGATCATACTCCTATTCTGCTCTATTTTTACCAACTATAAACTGAGGAAGTGAACTTTTTTCATGCAAAAACTATATTTATTAAAATTAAATTTCTCTTCTATATGCGTAATCAAAATTAACTTAATATGTTTCACGTGATGAAGCAAAATCTTCAAATAAATTACAATGTTATCAATATAAACAATAACGTGCTTTTCTATATATTTTCTCAAAACATTATATATTAAGCGTATAAATTTATTCGGAGCATTAGTTAAACCAAGAGACGTTTGTGGCCATGATTTAATTCTGATCCCCTCAAATCTACACAAAAACAAAGTTAATTTGATAATTTACGGTTACAAACTTTATGAAATTAAAAATAATAAATTTTTCCAACAAACGTTGATATGTTTGAGTGACTAAAGAGACAAATTTAAAATCTATTGAGTTCTATCACGTAGGTTTGAACCTTATTGTGGACATTTTTTAGAATATTCATATCACATCATTTATTATTATATTATATTATATTTCACACTAAATTAAAAATTTATTATACCTAAAATCAAATATTTTGTTTAAAAATAAAATATCTTATAATAAAAGGCTATAAATTAAATAATAGAATAGGTTATCAAAATTAATGGATCAAATTAAATTAAAGGCTATAAATTAAATAATAGGATTGGTTATCAAAATTAATGGATTAAATTAAATAATTTTTTTTTTTTGTTAAATTAAATTAATGAATCAAATTATTATGAATTTATTATAAATAAGTGTTGTTGTTGTGGTGGTTGTCATTGTTATTGTTGTTGTTATTGTGGTTGTTGTTGTGGTTATTGTCGTGGTCGTCCCCTTTTTTTCAAAATACGAGAATCCAAACTATCATCATCAATTTCTCCATCTTCTCAATGGAGTGATTAAACCAACTAATTCAGCTTTAATTCAAGTACATGGCATTATCTTCTAATCTTCGGATCTATTCTATAGTGGTGATAACGGTAAGTTTCAGAGACTTGCAAATACACCAAAATGATCTGTTTTTATTCATAGCTACAAACTTGGCAAATGCACGAGAATCATCTGTTTTTATTCAAAGGTTACAATGCCTTTTTATAGGAAATACATCAAACTGGAGAAAAATGGAAATACATGACACGACTCAATAGCTCCACTAATAACAAGAAAATAAATAATAGAAATTGATCTGTTCTAAACTTAGAGAATAGATTTTTATTGAAATAATCTAAAATTGACTCAACACTTCCTCCCTTGAACTGAACTCGATCAAGAGTTTAGTTCACAACACTCATCCCAAACGCTTCTTTGATCCTTTGAAATGATGTCATCTTCAAAGGCTTTGTCATTATGTCGGCCAGCTACTCCGCAGTGCTGCAATAGACTAATTTAACTACACCTTCCTTTGTCAATTCTCTGAGAAAATGGTATCGAACCCTTATGTGCTTTGACTTTCCGTGCATGACTACATTTTTTGACAACTTGATAGTGGACGTGTTGTCACAAAACAGACCCATCTCTTCATCTTGTTCATGCCCGATTTCTTTCAATATCCTTTTCATCCAAATGGCTTGACAGGCACATGTAGCTGCTGCTACATACTCTGCTACAGTAGTTGACAAAGTGATGATTGGTTGCTTCCTTGAAGACCATGCCACAGCTCCTCCACTCGTTAAGAAAACATAGCCTGAAGTGCTCCTACTGTCATCCACATCTCCCGCATAGTTACTATCCATGTAGCCTAAAAGTTCACTCTTCCCTTCACGTTGATACCATATCCCAAATTCCAGAGTTTCCTTCAAGTACCTCAGGATTCTTTTTGCAGTCAAGTCCTGTGACTGTGAAATACATTAAATTTCCCACCATTTGCTTATATAGCGTTGAATCGACCTTCACACCAGCTTCATCTCAGCCAACCTGCTGTCCAGGGACTATCAGATTGCAAATGGAGTTATAATTTTGCATCCCAATCCTCTCGATCAACTTAGATTACTAGTGAACAATAGATCATCAACATAAATGCTCACAATTAGAATTTTACCTCCCTTTTGTTTGATGAATAATTTCACTAGAGATGCTTACAAAACCTTCCTTGACGATATAAGCCTCAATGCGGTTGAACCAAGCTCTAGGCACTTGTTTTAGTCCGTAAAGAGCCTTATGCAGCTTATAAACCATGTCCTTCTTCCCTACTACTTATTAACCTTATGGTTGTTCAACAAATACATCTTCCTTTAGTTCACCATGTAGAAAAACAGATTTGACATCGAGCTGATAGATTCCTCATCCTTTTTGTGCTGCTACAGCAATGATCATCCTCATTGTATCCATTTGAGCCACTGGTGCGAATACCTCTATGTAATCTACTTTGTACTCTTGAGCATACCCTTTTACAATCAGCCGAGCTTTGAACTTGCCTACCTCTCCAAGTTCATTTAATTTGATCTTGTAAATCCACTTAACCCCAATAGCTTTGTCTCCAACAGGAAGTGCAGTCAGCGACCATGTGTGGTTCCGTTCAATGGACTATATCTCAGCATCCATCACTTGTTTCCATTTCTGATGTCCTGCGGCTTCTTGAAAACTAGTCGGATCTAATATGGCCATGAAAGCTAGAGTTTCAATTTGTTCTCCATTGTTCCCATTTGGACATTCATATTGGAAATGTCCACGTTGGTAGCAGTTGTAACACTCGATTGTTGCTTTCTTGAATGAGCGTCCTCTGCCCCTGCCTCGACCTCTGTATGATCCTCTGCCTCTGATAGTGAGACTGCCTCGACATTGAGAGCTTGATCACATTCTTCATGACTGATCTTCTTAAATTTCTCTTCATGTACAGACAGAGAGCTTTGCAGTTCGTCAATCATCATCTTTCCTATGTCTTTTGATTCTTCGATGGACACCACCACATATGTGAATTTGTCAGTTAGAGTTCGAAGTATTTTCTCAACAATTTTCGAATCTAACATGTCTTCTTTGTTGCTTCTCATCTTGTTGGAGACAGCCATTACTCTTCCAAAATAATCATCGATGTTTTCTTCATTCTTCATTTCAAGAATCTCAAAATCTCTTCTTAAGGTTTGAAGAAGAGACCACTTCACCCTTTTGTTGCCTCCAAACTTTTTCTTCATCGAATCCCAAATGATCTTGGATGTTTTGCGATTCAAGATCTGTTCAAACACAACCCGATCAATTGCTTGGAATCGGTAGTGCTTCACTTGTTGATCCTTCATCTTGAGCTCCTCAAGATTCCTTTTTTGCGTTGTAGTCACTTCAATTCCCTCTGCCGGTTCGGTGTAACCCTCTTCTACTAGACTCCACAAACCCTTGGCACGCAATAGGTTTTCCATCAGTTCACTCTAATGGTCATAGTGACCATCAAACTGTGGAATCTTGGTGAGTGTTTTGTCGTCGCTCATTTTCTCTCCTGGATTAATTTGTTTTGCTTTGCTTTGATACCAGATGATAATGGTAAGTTTCAGTAACTTGGAAAATGCACCATAATGATCTGTTGTTATTTCTAGGTTTGAATGCCTTTTTATAGAAAATACATAAAATTGCAGAAAAACGGAAATACCCTACATGACTCAACTAACTCCACTAATAACAAGAAAATAGCTAACAGAAATTAACCCTCTTCTAAACCTAAAGAACAGGTCTTTGTTGAAATAATCTAAACTCAACAAATAGATTTTCAGGAAGAGAAAAGAAAAATTGATTAATCATTTATAGTACGAAAGACACTCCATCTTCCACTCTCTATACTTTATCCTTTTAGAGTATAAAGGATGAAACACACTCAACTAGCTCCACTGTTAGATGAAACACACCATTGAAGAATTCAACCCAAAGAAAATTAACATCTACATAAAAAAAGTGCATCTATTCAAATAACAAGTCAATGACTTAGTTGTTAATTTACACCGGTTCAGATGCAAAAATATTTGTTTTATATATATATATATCTATACATATATATATATGTGAGCACCAAACTTGAACTAAGCAAGTTATTAACTTATATAGTAACTTTAGTAGAATTGTTACTGACTTGTAACTTTGATAGAATTTTTAGTAGATTATGTCACGACCCGATTTTCGAGGGTTTGAAAATCAAACCCTGAACTAAAAGACGAAGTCGAAAATAAACAAAAAGGAAAAAGATGGAAAGAAAGTAAAAAGATAAAATTACCATCTAATTAAAATAAAATATTACAAAACAAATTACAAATATAAAATGAAATACAAAATAGTTTAAAAAATTGAAAAGGGTCTGACGCTCCGGAACGACCCCCTTTGTGACCGCACAGCTCTTAAACGCTCCTCCACCTTGACCTTGACTGGTACCTGAAAAAAAAATAGAAAGGAATGAGTATAAAAATTATACTCAATAAGCCACCTACTTGTAGGCTCTTATCGCATCCTAAACTTAACAAATTCCCACGGACTTACCTTTGGCTTTAGAACGTCTAATTCTGGTCTTAGCTCCTTGGGGCTTGCCCCTGGGGGCTTTTTGGTTCTTAGTCTTTTCATTCATACCCTAAGAGTTCCCATAGGCCAACCTGTGTATGACTAGAGCCCTACAGTAGCTACCTAGGAAGTGAGCTGCAACCCCCTCGGTCCATGTTAGTCCCCCTGGTCAGGGAGAGCTACCCCCTTAACCCATCCAGCTAAATGGTCTATACGATGTGGGCACACGTTTCCCATGCTAAAACGGCTAAAAGCAGTCGAATTTTGATCAGGAACCCCCAGGTCCCCCACGAAGCTATGACACCAATCATACACATGCAGCCTAAGGGTACTCTAGAGATGGTTCGTATGTCGTGGTGGTCTGTTAGACTACTGGGGAAAGGTTAGGGCTATACCTTAATGACTTGTCACTCTAACCACAATTCTCTAGACTTTCTCATACTTGTGGATCATGGAAATTAACTGAGTGTGCACACAATTATCATCCAGCATCATCATACAAAATATATACAAAATAAACATACATGCTCAACGGGCGATAACATCCATCAACTCTCGGAGCGCAGAGTTCACAAGTTCCCATCCTCCTTTCAGCATGAATTAAACATATACATATAAAGTGAAATCTTAAAACATAATAACAACATTTAGATAATTCTCATAATACTTCACATAATACATCCATACTCTTAACAATCAAATTAACTACTTTCAATCACGGAAAGCTTCCACCTAAGGTAATTAAACTAGCATGTATGCATAATCAAGCGACTCCTACAAGTATTTCTTCCTAAAGTTTCGTGTGGTGACTTACTTGATTGACGCCTATTCTTCGTTTAACGTTTCTACACCAATAGCGTGTCCACAAATGCTGATTTTCTCATTTAGGTCCTATTTCATATAAAAATAGGGTGAGAGTTGGAATTAGGAGGAAAATCAAGCAAACAGAGGTCGAACAAGCTGAAAATAGCAACTCACGCGCATGCATGTGCTCACATGCGCCTAGGAAAGTGTTACACGCGCCCGTATGGATGTGTATGAGGGAGGAGGACGCGCATCCTCGTTCTGCCACGTGGCGCTCTTGAATTGGTCATCCGCTGATGAGTGTGTGGGTTCAAATCTAGAGGTGAGCAAACCTGAATTTTCTGATGCTGATGCGTGGCAACAAGAAGCCTGGTCGGTGGTCCATGTTGCACACGGTCATCGGGTTGCGGACTCCTGTAGCGGCCGCCGACCTTTAATTGCTACCGCACGCGAAATATTTCATTGAACTTTCTCCCGCATTGGATGCTTGACACATGTTCCTCCTTCTCCGGCGAAGCGCAGCCTCCTCCTTTTGATACGTGTCCCAGTCGTCGTCTGTGTTCTCCTTTCTCCTCCGATTTCCAAGATACGATTACTTTTTCCATTTTCATATTTCTTTCTACTTAACTCGGATCAACATGGTTCCTTCACCAGATTTGTAGAGGTGTATATCCATCTTTAGTTAGGTATTTTTCTTGTAATTTATTTCTAATCGCAAGGATAATTATCTTAGTCCGGATATGTCAAGAAACATCAATACCTACCTTCTTTGACGAACACCGGAATTCCCATTTTCGATCGAAGTCGATCCCAACTTCCTTCACAGGTTTTGAGCATAATCCTTCTTAGATTAACATACTCAAATTTTAGATTCAAACTCTTACTATGTCTCACAGATATGAAGGAAATCCGAGAATCTAGATTCAAGAACTTTACCTTTAGATTTTCCTCGTTTCTTGAGGGTTTTGGACGATTTAAGAGTCAAGAATGTTCTTCTCTAGGTTCTGTTAAGATTTCATGAAGAAGGCTCGACCAGAACTAGACTCCTCGTGATCGGAGAGGCAGTCACCTCCCTCTTGTTGGGTTTATGTCCTAAAACTCAGTTTGTAAACAAAAACATATTGTATTTTAAATAAAGTTATTAGTGATGTTTATTTAGTAAAGATTGTTATTGAATAAAGTGAATTTTACTATTATTAATCTAAATCCAATAAACTAAGAACACTCTAACTATAATATGATTACTTGAACTATATGTAGAGACATAAGAGTGGATCAAGTTCAAATATATAGTCAAAATGATGTATAGTACACGGATAAGGCTGAGTACCTTATCCTGGGGACACTATGGATACGGCCCACTTTTGTATATGACATAAACAATGTGATCACTAAATTGTACATGCGGAGACATGTGAGTGGGGGCGTTCTATGCAATGAGTATTGCATAAGATCGAACCATAAAGAAAATCACTCTCACTTTATAATGTCGTTTAATGTTGAGACTAATTTTTTTTCACTCGATGACCTAGGTAACTTGATCTTAATTCTGAGCTAACCATGAACTCCTGTTTATTCATAATTATCCTTAAATTTGCATGGGTGAGAGTGGCTCGAGTTCGCCGATTCAATAGGCCTCCCATTTCAGGGGTAAGACTGGGTGAATGGCTGGAGACGTGGGGTGCAAAATGAAATTCACTCCTACCACTTTTAGAATAGAAGAGAGGTAGTTCCCTTAAGTACTGACTTCAGGCCTTCAATTCCTACCCGACGTGAAATATTTCGTTGAATTTTCTCCCGTTATTGGATGCTTGACACTTGTCCCTCCTTCTCCGCCTGATACATGTCCTAGCCGTCTGATGTAATAGCCTAACAATAAATAAATAAATAAAAGCGTAAAAAAACAAATAAAAATAATTATAAAAAAATAGTTAAATAACAACAATAATAAATAAATAAACAAAAAGCAACATTTTCCTACCTCTCTCCACTAACCTCTCATCCCATCCCACAATTATCTCTCCTCGACCCATTCTTACACCAATTGTAAAAAGAAACAAAAAAAAAAACAACAATTAGATTTGAGAAAAAGTAAAATGGCTTTCAACTATGTAGAGACAATTAGATTTGAGAAGAAATAAAATGGCTTTCAACATAAGCAGAGATGTAGAGATTTGGGTCAGTTATTATGATAAAATAGTATCTCAGATTTCCCTCTCCTTTGTTATGGTTATAAGAAATTAATTTAGGATTAAATCTTCTTACATATTTTACGAGTTCTTGTAATAATCAGATCCCATATCCAATTGATTAGATTTTAGTTATATAGGAAATAAGGTTAGATTCAATAAATTTTTAGTGGGTCTTGTAATAATCAGATCCCATATCCAGATCCCATATCCAAGTGATTAGATTTTAGTTATAGGAAATAAGGTTAGATTCAATAAAATTGTAGTGGGCAGATCTATAAACTGGAAGATTGTAGCCAATCAATGACTTAAAATTGGCCAATATCTCTTTACACAATTGAAAATCTATTTACAAAAGGAAAATAATAAGAGAGAGATTGAGGAAAGATATGTTAACACAACTTAATAATAAAACATTAAATATTTGTTAACACAACTTAATAATTAAATGTAAATATCATAGAGCAAGGAACTTCATTAAATTTTGTCTAACAGGAAATATCACAATTTTACTATGGCCAATGTAAATTAGAGAAAATCAGAATTTTACTCTGGCGAATCTAAATTAGAGAAATAATTTTATAGAGTTCAAACTTGAAACTGATGTCATGGGCTCACATAGGTTGACTTGGATTTCAAAGGACGGAATTGAACTTTCATTAAGGATATATTCGTGGCAACGACTTGAGCTAACCAGGTAAGTGGCCTTACTATCAACATGGTTATATTCGATGTTGACACGTGCCCGTGGTTCTGCACGTGTCATATATACTGATATGTGTGAATTATTTGTTAATCGGTATGATTATATTATGTTTATGTTATGTTATAATATGTGAATTGTATGATAATAATTATGGAACGATGTGTTCAAGGATAGGTTTGAGATAGGATACGAGAAGGATGCACAAAACGAAATGTAATGATAGGAGTAAAATACGTTCATGAAACGTTAAGGTTAGATTACATACCGGAGTGATATGGATAAGAGATATTGATGGAAGAATACGGTTAGGTTACAGGTAGAAATTGATAGGCTTGTGATAGATTGATAGAACGATAGCGTTAGGATTGATAGAATGATAGCGTTAGGATACGTTCTTGTGATGATATGACTAAGGTACGTTCATGTAATGATATGTTTGTGATAAGTATAAGAACACTAAGGCTATGATAAATTAGAGAACGATATGACTACAGAGTAATTTTACGTTCTCGACTATGTTAAAATGTTACAATTTCACTTATTATTATGGAGGAAGAATTTGTTTTTTTAATGATTATAGATTGATTTGTGTTTGCTTGTCAATTTTGAATATCTTTTATCTGAGATTGTATCGAATATTTATTAATTGTGGATAAATAAATAAAAATTAAAATTAATTTTTTTTTAACAACCGGACCCATGTACATCCCTATTCAAATCGTTCCCATGGAAACATGTGAATGGAGATATCTTATACAACGAGTTTGTATAAGACTAGACCACGGAATATTTAATCTACATTTTTAAGTCCGTTAATTGAGAATATTAATATTTACAGGATGATCATATGTGACTCAATCTGAATCGTAAGTGATTTATGAACTACTGCCGGTAAAGGCGTGTTCTTTGATTTGCATAGGTGAGAATGATTTTGTAATATGTCTATCATTGAGAACTCTACTAAATAGGGAGTTAAGAACGTAATTTTAATGTATGAAATTCTAGACGATAAGTTCCCTTAAGTGACTGAGGACTTGCACAATGTTGTCCTACGCCTTCACTAGCCCAAAGGACTTGGTTTTATGATTGGGATTATAAACAAAATTTTTATTAAAGAATAACGAGTACTTGACGTGAAAATATAATTATATGAGTAAAACGAACTTTGACCCAGCTGTAATTACGAATAACTCATGAAGGATCGTCCTGCTTATAAATTACATCATAGACACAATTTGTCCTATAGTACACAAAATCTAGTAGAGTGAGATATTCATAAATATTTTAATTAAATATTTTATAATAAGAGGTATAAAAATAAAATATCTAAAATACCTAAAAAAAATCAAATAATTTATTTTTATTTATATTTATTTTTGTTGTCATATTTATAATATTATTTTTGTCACCATATTTATAATATTTTTATTATAGTTTAATTTTAGATATTTTATTTTTATTATATCACATTATTAAACTAATTAAATTAATTTAGTTTTCAATAAATATATCATTTATAACTAATTTTAATAAAAATAAAATAAATTAAACCATTGATAAATTAATTTATTATATAATTCCAATACGCTTTCCTCTGATTATCCACCATAAGACTAAATTAACTCATATTTAAAACAAAATTTCAATCTCGAATTTCAATTAGACTCAAAATTTACAGTCAAAATATCTGAAAAAGCATTAAAATTGAAGCAGTCAATGTTGTGAACCGAAAAATTCCTCACAATTGTATCATCCATCAACTTTTCCATCTTCTCGGTTTTGGGATCATACAACACTAATTGAGCTCCAGCCCAAAGACACAAGATCTTTCCATCTTTACCTGTTTTAATCTGTTCCACGGTTGATTTTGAGAAAGAAAGAACATTTTTTGTTGGTATGATAACACTAAATGATTTAATCCACGAACCATCTTCTTTCATCTTCCATATTCTGTATTCGTACTCCTCCATGGAAAGAGTCAGATGGAGGGCGCCATTAAATACTCTAATATAAGGAAAATAACCGTCATCATTAGGAAAAGGAATCTGCTCGTACTTCTCATCTTCCATGTTTAGACGATAAATGACATCACGACGAAGATCATTTTGTCCAACCCAATGCAGCCCTCCATTCAAGTAAACACCATGACATCCATGAAAAGAACAGGACGGTGACTCAATACGGGTCCATTCCTGCCGGGTCCCGAAAGCAAAAATCTCTGATTTGTAATTATGGACGATGGAGTTTCTATCATCGACGGTGGAGTTTCTTATTACTTTGTAGTGCTTCGTTTTAGGACAAAATCCAAATCCATAGGAGCACGTAAGCCAATTCCCTTTGAATTCGTCCTTAGGAACTTCAAAGTACTCATTCGTCATGGGATTTAATATGACCACTGTATTCGAGCTAAGCCACCTCTTTGTGTTTTTGGTGACCACAAAAGCTAAGAGCCCATTGCACGAATTAATAGTTGAGATAAAAGAACGTCGAAAATATTTACGACGCAAGTTGAATGAAGCCACACTCCTCACCCCTTCCACATGGTCGGGATCCAATTCCAAGCAATGAAGATTACGAAACGATGGACGATCACCGTTGTTGGAATAAACATGGGCAAACAAGAAGTTGGAAGCAGCCGAGATTGAAGGATCATGTTTAGAACTTAAAATCACATTGTTCCATGTTTTGCAAACCAACCTGCAGCTCGGCAAATAATAGTAGGGGAGCTTGCTAAGTATTAGCTCGATGACATCAGGTATGAGTTCGAGAATTTTGTTGCTAATAATGTCTTGATCGTTCGCCATCACTAGAAACAAACTGGTGAATTTGATTGAAGAGGAAATCCACTCGGATTGAATTCAAAAAATAATGGTTATTGTTCTAGAAAGTCTGTATTTATAAATTAAAAAATTAATCTTTTTCTATTTTAAATTTAAAAAACTAAAAAAAATTAATTTTTTCTATTTTAAATTTAAAAAACTAAAAAAATTAATCTTTTTCTATTTTAAATTTAAAAAACTAAAAAAATTAATCTTTTTCTATTTTAAATTTAAAAAACTAAATCTTTTCCTATTTTAAATAGATTTGATGTTTTTTTCCATATTTACCTCCACGAAAATATAGAAAAAAAAATTAAGGTTAGAGTAATTTAAGAGTCTTTAATTTGATTTTTTTTAATATTATAAATAAAAATAAAATAAATTTGTTTAATTTGATTTCACATTTTTTTATAATAAAAAAATTGACGGGTTCTTTATCGAATTTTTTCAAATCCCAAAATTCTTTTTATATTGAAAATTATTTTAAATTTGTTTATTTGATTTTCAATTCTACTTCGAAACCGAGGTGGGATCTCACAATCTACCCCTTCAGATTTGAACAATGGTGTCCTACATTTTCACTAGTCCAAAAGAGACTTAGTTTTATAATGATTAGCTCCGTGGTGAAAATAAAAACATTCTAGAGCCCTAGCTTATTAAATTACAACCATGTTAGTATGTTTACTCTATAAAAACGAGACACTAATAAGTCATATATGTTATTCATGAAAGTTATCAAGTATTAAGTATGCATGTCTCATTCGAAGGCTATGTCATGAAAAGAACGAAGGTCTCAGTTGCATCATAAGTATATGTTATGATTAAAGCCATAAGAACTTTATATTTTATATGTCATGTGCATCAAAATACTTCTCTGTTATGATTAGTACGAACACGTAAATTACGATATTATGTATACTATGATATTATGTGCACTCTTTTCCCTTTCGACTTTGCTAACAGTGTGAGAACGCTAGTCGAAGGACAGACTTAGGGAGTACGTATACAAGTCCACCTGAGGTTCATGTGCATAGTCATGAGTAGAAAAGTACTGACAGATTTGAAAGCCTAACTTCCACAGATGTCCAACCCTTCAGTGCATCCCAGTCCAATCACGTGACCCGAATCCAACCATGCGCGGACCCATCTCACTTCCAACACCTTCATTAGCCATGGTTACAGATCCTAAAAGCATACTCAACTCCTCGTCGTTCCTCACAGCAAGTTGTATGTGCCTTGGCACATACAATTCTTCTGGTTGTCTCTAGCATCATTTCCAGCAAGCTCCAAAACCTAATTCCGATTTAAAATTATCAGAAACTAAGATAAGAACAGAACCGCATCAAAATCGCTGAAAAAAGGAACGAAGACAAAAGATCTTGTTACCTCGGCGGCAAGAGAGCACGGCCGATAAATAGACTGGAGCGCCAGCGCCGACACGCTCGGCGTATTTTCCGACCTCGAGAACACTTGTGCTAGAGTCTTGATATGCCTCATTTTTCTTCTTTCGCACCTCATTATTCATTAAGGCATTTGAAACATCTTTGAAATGAATATAAGTGATTCAACAGCAACAGCGCCTTGTCTTCGACATTAATTATAACATCAAGATTGAGCATATCAGTGATGATTTTGTTAAAATCATCCTAATGCTCAGCCATTGAGATACCTTTCTTGTAGTCTAAACTGAAGAGTTTCTCCTTTAAATAGAGTTTATTTTCCACACTCTTTTGCATATATTTCGCCTCAAGCTTGTCTTATAGTTCTTTCTCCATGTAACCTTCATAAATGGATATTTCGGATCCTTGCCAAGACAGGATCGAATAATTCCACAAGCTTGTCGATTTAATTTCGTCCATTCGGCATCTGTCATATCTTCAGACATCTCTTCTTGGAGAGAAGCATCAAGATCTTGCATGGCCAGCAAATCGCTAACTTCGCCTCGCCAAACACCAAAATTATTGGTTCCATCAAATTTCTCTACTTCGAAATTAGAACTCAAAATTCTCGATCCACGCCGTGATTTAATTCCAGATGATTCTGCCATTTGTAATAAGTAATCTGGATGTAACTAAAAAACACAAATTCTTGAAAATTGATTTTCAAGAAAATAAGCACGATTGTGAGCACGTCTAGTGGTCAATGAGGTCAAAACTTTCACAATACCCCAAATACCACAATCAGGCTCTGATACCACTTGTTGTGCGCCAAAAGCGGAAGAAATGTACTCACAACACCAATGAACGGAATTACACAAATAGACACCAAGATATTTACGTGGTTCGGAGAGAACAAGTTCCCCTACATCCACAGGTCGCAACCAATCACTAATAATCAAAGTGTTACAAGTGAGTACCTCACTATCAGACTACAAAGACTCTTACCAATACGTCACTCAAGAAATACAATGTGACACACAAAACTCTCTCAAACTTTGATATCAAATTTCGATATTAACAACCTTCTAGACACACCCTTTGTATAGGGATAATTCATGTAGAATATTAATAAAAAAAAAATCCTTCATACTAAATGAGGATTTATAACCAAAATAAATAAGATATTAATTTAAATGATTATAAATTAACCACCAAATTAATATTCTTATTTAATTGTTATATTTTAAATTAATTTAATTACTAAATTAAATAAAAATAAAAAATAAAAAAAAACTTATGACAATTTACACACTTGCTATTAACACTGAAAAGTTCAATTTAGTTGAAAAATAATTTGAAGGGTTCAAAATCTATCTTACACTTTTTCTCCCACTCTCTTTTTCCAATTTTTGTGATTTTCTTTTAAAAGACTCTCAAAGTGTTGATCTTGTGTTCGAGTCAGAGAAGACATTGTAGAAGAGATTCAATAGTTGGACGCTGGAGAAAGTAAATTAAAGATCTACCAAATATTTCTTCATATTAGTTTGAGGTCTGGTTGTGTAACATTTTCATATTCTTGAATATTCTTAATCTACTTATTTGAGCCAATACCTTAAAAGTATATTTGATATTGAATTAAAAATTTATTAAACTTATAATTTCTTTAAAAAAAGAAATATTTAAGAATATGATATTTATAAATAAAAATAGTTGTTAACATGGGTTGGAACAAGAGATGCATAAATAAAATTTATAGCCTTTTTATTTAAATGTTTATAATATTTTTATTATATTTAGACAATTTATTGCGTTAGTTATTTTATTTTTATTTTATCAAATATCAAAATAATTAAATTAATTTATTTTTCACTCACTAATTAAAATTTTAAATTTTTTAGTTTACTTCATTTATTTATACAGTTTTAATATTTATCATGGTTTCCTCCCATTGATAAAAATAAAATTAATTAAATTGTTATTAATATAACGTCTTTCAAGCATTAAATTATTTTTTTTGTTTGAAACTTTCTCACAGTAAAGAATTTTAATAAAAATTAAATAATATTGCTATTTGTTTATATAAATAATTCTCTTATATTTGAAATTTTTCTATAAAAATTAAAATAATGATTTAGGAATCTATAAAATTAAAAATTAAAAAAAAAAAACTAAATTTTAATTTCGTATGTTTAACTTGTTTTGAATTTTAATTTAGTTAAAATTTATTTTAGTTTTAATGAAAATTTTATTTCCTATTTTTGAGGATCCAATTTCAATATTTTCTTTATCTATTTAATTTTTAAATTAAAATAGTTCCATTTAACTAATTAAATATTTTATATAATATATTTGAGAATCTAAAAATAAAAATAAAGTAGCTAGATACCTAAAAATCTAAAAATCAAATAATTATAACTAAATTTATGTTTATTTTTGTTACTATATTTATAATATTTTTATTATGGTTTAGTTTTAGACCATTAATAGTTATTAATTATTTTATTTTTATTATATAAAATTATTGAACTAATTAAACTTTTTTTTATTATTAATAAAAATATCATTAATAACTAATTTTAATAATTACTTGTTTTTGGTAATTGAATTTTTATAAAAATAAATTAAATTAAATTAAATAATTGGTAAATTAATTTAGTATACCATTCCAATAAGTTTTTTTTTTTCTCTTATCGTAGAATCAAAACTAAATAACTCATATTTAAAACAAAATTTTAATTTCATGTTTTTGGTAATTGAATTTTTATAAAAATAAATTAAATTAAATAAAATAATTGGTAAATTAATTTAGTATACAATTTCAATAAGTTTTTTTTGTTCTCTATGGTAGAATCAAAACTAAATAACTCATATTTAAAACATGGTAAATTAATTTAGTATACAATTCCAATAAGTTTTTTTTTTCTCTAATCATCGTAGAATCAAAACTAAATAACTCATATTTAAAACAAAATTTTAATTTCATGTTCAAAATTTACTTAATTTTTCTTGTCAAAATATTGGAAAGAGCATCAAAATTGAAGATATGAACTGAAAAAATCTCTCACAATTGTATTATCCATCAACTAAAAAAAATAAAATGAATTAAATAATTAAACAATTTTTTATGGACTAAAAATCTCAAACCATTTTAATTGAGTCTTACAATTTAATTCATAAGATTAACAAATTTTAATAAAAATTACATAACAGTTGCATTTTTATATATAAAAAATTAGATGGCTTACTATACCACTCCGACCATTTTATGTTCAATTAAATAATTAAACCAATTAGATGGCTTACTGTACCACCCCGACCATTTTATGTATTATCCATCAACTAAAAAAATAAAATCAATTAAATAATTAAAATTTAATGTACAATTCCAATAAATTTTTTTTTTCTCTAATTATCGTAGAATCAAAACTAAATAACTCATATTTAAAACAAAATTTTAATTTCATGTTTTTGGTAATTGAATTCTTATAAAAATAAATTAAATTAAATTAAATAATTGGTAAATTAATTTAGTATACAATTCCAATAAGTTTTTTTTTTTTTTTTTTTCTATAGGAGAATCAAAACTAAATAACTCATATTTAAAAC